TTTATTTTATTAGATAAAAAAAATAAGTCTATTAAAAATGAAGGAAGGGAGTATTAGAGTATTATAAGAATAAGATGGAAAGAGCATTATTTTAGGATAAAGTGAGTAATAATTGAAAAATACACTTACACATCAGAATGTGAAAATGATTTCCACATTCTACTGTAAAAAAAAAAAAAATGGAGGGAGAAAAATATAATTACATACTCTAATGTGAAAATGATTTACGCGTTTCATTCAGTGCAGGTGTTTACAAATTAACTAAGGTTGCATTTGGGAACATGTATTTGTATTTGGATTTGAAATGTGTATTTTAAATATATGTATTTGAAATACATATATTTAAAATATACGTATTTTAAAATACATTGTTTGGATTGAATTAAAAAAACTGAATTTTAAATACATGTATTTTTAAATACATTATTTGAATATATTAAAATACTATGCATTTAAAATTGAATATTTCTTATTAAATTAAATTTTCTTCTAATCATTATTTAAATTTAATAAGAACAAAGTTAACAATTTAGTCTTCTAGAACATTATTTAAATTATCTCAAGACAAACAAATTGGATAAAAAAAATTAATGACCTTCAGTAATCAATTTCTACAACGATGGATTTATCATGGAAGAATTTTACTATGAAAAATAAAGAAGCAAAGTAACATCTAGAATAATTATCAACTATACCCATTATCAAATAAGTTTTCAGTAATCAATTCATTTGGATATCCAAATATATACATATTTGTATATAGAAAAGTTATCATGATATTTGGTACCATTTTCAATTGGACATTAGAGCTGGTTAAAAATTTGGCATAGCAAGAAAGAAAAAGCTTCCTCCTCTATTCACTTACAATCAAATTGCCTTTCATGGTCCCTCTAAATATTGCCTACAAGGTTGAAGAACAAGGTTAACTCTGCAATTTCTATAATTTAAGAGGAGAGTTAGTGCTCTAGGTTAATTTTTCAGCAAGTCCACAAGCACATTTTACTTTGTGATCATGGATTTCTTGTGTGAAAGCTTCGAATATCTCTTTGAAAGATGATCTTGGCTAATTAATTGTGGTCATGAATTTTTGACTTAAATCAACTACCATGGTAACCAAGCTAGCTACTCCACCGCCCCACTAGAAATCCTACAATTCATAGAAAATGACCTCTCTTTCCATGCTCCCAAATGATTGAGCAATGATGGAGATGTCAATTGGTTATCCTTTCAATTCCCTTTGCAGGCCTAAAGAGGTTTTTGTAGCACAAATTGTTCCATAACAAAGGTATAGTAAAGCAAAAAAGCAATCACAAATACAAAGTTTCTTTTTCCATCTACATTGGGAAATTGAACCTTTCTATAAGGTATTAAAAATTGTCTGCTCTAGTTGTTGGAAGCAAAGACTGCACAAATAAAAACAAGATTGTTTATTTGTTTTCCATGAAATAGACAAAGAAAATTTGGGGGAAAAAGAAATAGCAAGTTTGGAATTGGATGAAAGTTAAATAATTGACACACTAAAAAATAGGAATTAACGATTGCAACTGCTAGTTGAAAATTCAAATATTAAGCACATGAAACTCAATCACTGTAAAAATTCCTCTGTTTAAGAATATACCCACCTGGAGCCAGAGCAACAAATGACTGTGAGGATGCTGTGAGGCAGAGAAGAAGACTGTAGATTTGTCCCACCTATGTGTTTACCCAAGAAAGGCAATCTATGCTTGAAAACCAAAAGATCAAAATGCAAAACTATGGGGTTTAAATCCAAAAGATTGAGCAACTACCCATGAAAGCAAATCACTAGGGAGAACAAAAAAATAACAAGAACAACAATAACAATAACAAGAACAACAAATCAATAGAAGGCAAGCTAAAAGAAATAAAACCCAATGAAAAGATTAGGGCTTAGATCTAGAACCTGCTATTGAGAGAGATGATGAAAACTCAGAGGCAGATGCGTGTGATTGTGCAGTAGTTTGAGTGGTCGACGACAAGAAGGTGAGAGGCAATGACAAAGTTGACAATGAACGGAAATCACAATGGAGGCTTCATTGTTGTCGGTGTGTGGAGAGAGTGCAGGGTAAATTCATTTTGAAATTGAAATTCATGGGTTTAGCTATGAATTTGAAATACACAGTTTTAATGCTTTTGAAATACCCTATCGAAATATATGTATTTCATTCAAATTCAATTACATTTTATTTGAGTAAAAACAAATAGTGATGTTGAATTTTAGATGTTCAAATTCAAATACACCCTATCAAATTCATGTTACTAAACAGACCATAAATGATTTTGTTCCAATAATTCAATCCGTTTATGTTTTTCAATCACCTATTCTACTTGCTACCAATGCGGTTCATGAGGAAGCTGTAGCTATTTTGATAGGTTTAGAATATGCTCTTGACCTGCGTTTACAAAATGTGTAATTAGTGGAAGTGACTCTAGCATTATTGTTCATTTGATTGTGCAAAATCTTCCTGATCTCTCTAGCTATAAGGGTCCCATTACTGTCGATAGTCCAAGGGTTGCAGCGGGCCTTCACCATGTCTCCTTCACGTATGTTAGAAGAGAAGCTAACAAGGTGGCCGACAAGCTTGCGCGAGGTGCAACAAATCTAATTGACTCCCCGTAGAGTACAAAAAGCTGTTTGGTGCTTTTTGTTCATCTCGGTCACCTGGAATTTACGGGGGGTTGACAAACAGGTGATTTTTGAAGGGGTTGACGAACATGGTGGAGATGATAGAAACAAAGTCTTTCTGGTTGGTAAAAGATAAATTAAGTGCGTGTGAGCTTTTATTATATGATTGGATGAACCATCCTAACTTATGTGTTAAAATAGTCCTTTTTGTTGATCTCGATCACTTGGGGTTGACAAACAGGTTATTTTTGAAGGGGTTGAGGCAAATGCTCCGAGATTGGTGCAGATGATGCAAACAAAGTCTTTCTGGTTGGTAAAAGATAAATTAAGTGCATGTGAGCTGTTATTATGTGATTGGATGAGCCATCCTAACTTATGTGTTAAAATAATAAATGTTTAGTTTGTAGTGATAATAAAATATAATGTATATGAATAAGAATACTTATTATATATTAATTTAATAAATAAAAACGTGACCCCTGTAAATTCACTGGAGGTGATCTTTAGCCATCTTTGTTATCTTTTTCTGCTGCTGATGTCCTTTGCTTATGTAATTGTTTGTTTGTATGCATCAATATGTTTAACATTAAAAAAAAAAAAAAAAAAAAAACCCTCTCTTTTTCTTTTACTGGGATGCATAAAGATTCGCTCCAAAAGAAGAGATGTTTAGGGACTAGGAATTCGTCCCCATAGGTGTCAGAATTCGTTCCCAAAGGTATTAGGGACGAATTCCTTCATCCCTACTGTTGTCCCCGATAGTGGCCTCCCTAAAGAAAATGGGATTGCAATTTTGGTTCCTAAATGCTTTTGGGAATGTTGCTTTACTAAACTTTTAAAATAACTCGTGCCCAGTACTTTAAGAGACGTACCATCCCCATAAAAAACCTTTCTGAGAAAACCCTTAGGAACCATTAAGGATCGATGCAACATACCTAAAACTATTTTGAGCGATATGTCACCTAAAACTTTGGAGAATGCATCATCTAAAGTTTTAGAGGTGAAACATACTTAAAACCTTTAAAACTTTTAGGAATGCCACGTTCTCATAAACATAGTTGGAGACAATGGCATCCCCAAAGAATGCAGACAAGCAAGAAATGAAGTGCCTATTTAGGCATATTATCATCCCCATTGGCTTTGCTTTAGGGATTTGACCATTCATTTGGACTAATCCAATTTTTATTTTTACTTGAGTACCGGTTAGTTAAGCAAATTGGGCTTAATTAGGTACCGAAGGTAAAATATTAAAGGCTTAAAACCCGCCATAAATCGATCTTCTATAATATTCCATATTTCTCTTCCATCATAATTCATGAATAGGAATGGCATCCTGACAGTGCAAGGATGGGAAGTCAAAGCATCTTCGTTTTTTTTTTTTTTTGCTAAGACAATCAAAATTTTTTATTATTCAGAGTACATGGGTACTCATCCATAGCCTCTCATGGACACAGGTAATTAATGGGGATGGGATCCTTGCTAGGATCCGTGTTGCCGCCAATACTTAATGAAAATTTAAAAAATAGAAATTTTGAACCCTTCATTTTTTGTATTAATTTTCTGGTATTCGGTAATCATATTGAATTCCGATTAATTTGGAATCGAGTTGAGTCGAGTTGGATCCCATATTGGACCCCATAAGGGAGGCAAACTCTCCCAACATTTATTTCTCTGTTCACAAAACTTGAACTTGAGATTTTATTTATGAGGATTTTGAACTCTTTTATGGGGAGGGAATGAGTCACAAAAGAAGATCTCATGGGTGAAATGGGATTATGTATGCTATAGTAAGGAAAAGGGGGGATTACGCGTGTCGGACTTACGTAGGAAAAATTGGGCACTTCTAGGAAAGTGGTGGTATTGGTTTGGGGATGGTGTAGAGAGCTTATGGAAATGGATAGTAAAGGAGAAATATTATGGGGGCAAGTGGGAGGAGGTGGACATTACAGCAGTTGGGAATTGGAGGACGTCTAAGATTTGGAGGGATATTATTAGTATAGGGGGGCGGTCTATGAGACTTCGAAATATGTTGGTGGAAGGATTTAAGTGGGACGTAGGGGAAGGGAATCAGGTGGGTTTTTGGCGTGAACGGTGGATTGGGAATAAAACTTTAAGGGATTTATGCCCAAGGTTGTTTGAGTTGTCTACGAACAAGGCATGTAATATTAGTGATATGGGAGTATGGGAAGGGGATAAATGGTGTTGGAAAGTGGAATGGAGGAGAGCAAGAATAGGACGAGAGAAGGATGAGGAGGAGGTGTTGTGGGAAGTACTGGATAGTTTTCCATTAAAGAAAGGTGTGGAAGATTGCTGGAGGTGGATACATGATTCAGATGGTAGTTATGGGGTAAAGAAGGCTTATGATTTTTTAGCCCCTACAAAGCGTGTTCTAGAGGAGCAGTTGTGTAAGCTAATTTGGTGCAAATTAGTGCCCTCCAAAGTGTTTTTCTTTGGGTGGAGATTATGTCTTGATAGGCTCCCAACTAAGTGGAACATTACGAAGCGAGGGGTACATTTGCAGGAGGAGGAATTAATATGTGTTTTGTGTAATGACATGGTGGAGGAAGCTAATCATTTGTTTAGTATGTGTAAGGAAGCATGGATTTTGTGGGTAGAGGTGCTGCAATGGTGGGGCATGGTGACTATTATGCCTAATAATGCACTAGGAGTGGTAGACATCTTTGTAAATGATTTGGGTAGAATAATAGGGAAGGAGATGGGTGCTTGTATCTTTCTTGTGGTCTCATGGTATTTATGGTATTGGAGAAATGGTAAAGTTTTTAACAATGGAAACAACATTAGGGGAAGATTAATGGATATGGTTCAAGCCAAATCATTTTTCTAGATTAAGAATAAGAGGCATGGTTGTGTTTTTTCATTCCAAGAGTGGAAGGTAAATCCAGTTGATTGTGCTCTGTCAGTGAGAAGGCACAAACGATTGCTGAAATTGTTCCATAAATAGCAGAAGGGAATAGTAGCAGATTAAAGATAGGAGGGTGCGGGTTTCCTCATTGATAGGCAGCAACAAAAACAATTGTCATTTCCATGAAGATTGTTAGCCTATTTGTGTATAGCAGCTTTTATGATGTCAATTAATCTGCAGACTGTATTACATGCTTAGCTAGTTTTGGCATTCTATCATTCTAGCTGCTGTTTACATTTATAATGGGTAGGAGTACTCCTTGTGCTTTATATAATAAATTTATTTTGTTGATCAAAAAAATTTGGTTGATATATGCACCTACTTATATTTATTAGTTTAACTATTAAAAACTAAAATTTTAAGTTTTTTGTTTTTAATTTAAATTTTTTAAAAAATAATTTCTTTATAAATATATTATGAAATGTATTAAACTGAAAAGTGTTTGTAAGGACGGAGCCAGTAAATTTAGTTGGGGGCAAAATTTATTGTTGAAGATTTGAGTTTTTAAGAGTATTTTTTATGACACTAAATTGGTTTTTTTTTTAATCTTCTCCCTTATAAAAAGATTTACTTGTTCTCTTTTTATTGGTATATTCTTAGTAAAAATTAGAATTAGAAATAAAATGTATTTTTTCAATTATAATAAAAACTAAAATATCATAGTAATAAATTATGTTGCAATGATCAATTGAAGAATGAATAAAAAAGGAGAAATGTGTTTGTTAGCTGAATCATTAACAAATTATGAGGAGAAACACTACAAAATTAAATTGTTTTAATAATCTTGCATTAAAAAAGACAAAAACAACATATTTTTAAAGTAAGAATGAGAGTGTTTTGATTTTATTAAAGCAATGTAATTTTAGAGTGTTTTCCTCTTAATTTTTTTGGAGATCATATTGATAAACACTAATATTATAACAAAAAGAAACTAAAATATTTCTCTTAAAAAGAAAACTCTAACTTAGATTGATTTAACAAAAGAAAAAAAATTATAAATTCAATCATGAAAGGTAAAAATATACCTTGATGCCGAAAGGAAAAAACTTTAAATTATTACATAACATATTAAGAAAGAAAATAAAAAAATACTAAAGAAAACTATAAATTTAAAGTTGTTTAAATAGTTAATCAAAGTTTTTTTGGCTTAACAGATGAAAAACTATTTAAAAACCCTAATTCTTAATTAATTAATTGACATAAATTCATTTTACTTGAACTATATCTTTATTTTTTGAAAACTTTTTATTTAGATCCTAAATATTTTCTCTACATTTAAAATGGTCCTTGAAATTCATAATATTAAAACAAAATTTTTAACAAATAAAAGTTAGATTACCATATTAAATGTTTTTCGAAAGCTTGGGGTGGCCAGCTGCCCCCCCTTGTCTTTCATTGGCCTGTTCTGGTTTATTCGCCTCTATTTATAGCCCCACCCCACTTCGATTTTTTTATTTGTATCCCAACTCATTACTATCCATTATGAAAGTCTCTACTTACAAACTCTTAGCTGGCTTCCTATTCCTTTTCTTTTTCTACCACTGTCAAGCGTGTCCACATTACAAGTTTGTTGTAAGTACATATTTCGATTTTTTTAAGAGAAAACAACGATATGCCATTGTATTCATCATAAATTGTTTCTGTAGGTGAAAGAAGCTCCATATACAAGACTATGCAGCTCGAAGAACATACTTACTGTAAATGGCCAATTTCCGGGTCCTACTTTATATGTTAATAAAGGAGACACCATCGTTGTTGATGTTTACAACAGAGGAAACTATAACATCACCATTCATTGGTATTAATTATCTCAAACCATTTCATCACCACTTAAATATTGTAGAACTGGAAGGAGGTTAGATTAATATTACTCATAATATTAATTGGAAGCATATTTCGGCAGGCATGGTGTGAAACAGCCAAGAAATCCATGGTCTGATGGCCCAGAATACATCACTCAGTGTCCTATTCAACCAGGAGCAAAATTTAGGCAGAAGATCATTTTTACTACCGAAGAAGGAACTTTGTGGTGGCATGCTCATAGCACATGGTTGCGAGCAACTGTCCATGGTGCTCTGATTGTTTATCCCAAGATGGGAACAAGCTATCCTTTTCCGAAACCCGATGTAGAAATTCCCATCATATTAGGTAATTAAAAAAATAATTATAAATTTAAAATAATTTCATTGATTAAATAAAGATTTGGAATGTTTGGGATTACTGAAAATGCAGGAGAGTGGTGGCAAGAAGATATAACGCAGGTATATCTAGATCTTGAACGCTACGGCGGCCTAGGAGTCGCCTCCGACGCCTACCTCATCAACGGCCAGCCTGGTGATCTTTATCCCTGCTCTAAACCAGGTGAAACTCTTTACTTTTTAGTTCGACATCAATGTCTTCAAAATAAAATAATGATGCTAACATATTAACAAATGCATATAATAAAATACCAAAAAACAAAAAAAATAGTGAATAACATCAGAAACTATTGGTCCTAACGGTCTTCACCTAATTTTAAAGTAGTTGAAATTTTATTACTAACAATATACGTGAAAAATACCCATCTTCAATAGATGGGTAGCCATTTAAGAATTCTCTTGCAATCAAAAAAATATACGTGAAAAATGGTAAAAAAGAAAAGAAAAGAAAAGATGTGTGAAAATTCAGATTAAAGTAATTAATACACACTTCCATTTATCATACCTCATAACATTTACCAATTTAGTATTAAAATATATAATTTTTAATTTTCTCACATTTAATTTAAATTTAAAAATAATAATTTCTTAATAAATATATTTTATAATATATTAAATAAAAAACATATTAATCATTATGCTTTGATCAATTTTTATTGAGTTCTCTTTTTTACAATTTAACTGTAAAAATAAATTCTTAAATAGAGACTACCTCACACTTATAATATATCTTCATGTTTAAAGGTCAATGTTAATTATTATCTAATCTTTTTTTTTAATATATTTACAGAAACTTTAAGACTCAAGATAAAGAGAGGTTTGACTTATCTCCTTCGGATAGTTAACGCCATCTTGATAGATGGCCTCTTCTTTGCCATTGCCAACCATACTATCACGGTGGTTGGATCTGACGCTGGCTATCTAAAACCATTCAATAGAACCTTCATTTGCATATCCCCAGGCCAGACCGTTGATGTCCTTCTAGAAGCCAACCAAAGTCCCAATCACTATTACATGGCCGCCAGCGTGTACACCACGGTTCTTCCAGGTTCTTACAACAACTCCACTACCACAGCTATTGTAGAATATAATGGAAACTACACTCCATCCTCGCCGCCGGTGTTCCCCTATCTTCCTGAATATAATGACACAGAAGCATCCGTTAATTTTACCGCTAGTCTTCGGAGCTTAGCTGATAAGGAGTATCCAATTGATGTGCCAATGGAAATAAACACACATTTGTTCTACACTATTTCACTCGGCAGTCCATGCAAAAACAACTCTTGCCCAGGTATTCTTTTTGAAGTATGCTTATTTTTTATTAATTAAATACAAAAATATTAATTACAAGGTAAATATTATTCAGAGTACTTTTTGTACTTTATTAATAAAATTTTTCTTTGTCAATCAAAAAATATTACATGACAATTATTATTTTAAATCAATTCTTAATCCATATATAATTTCTAATTTTTCGTATATAATTTTCTATGAGTTTATATAATCTGCGCCTTTAAAGCACAAATTAAAAGTGTATTAAATACACATCTTCGTCATCAATTTATATTAAAAAATAAAAATCAACATTTAATTTATCAATTATCAAATTAAATTTATTTGCTATTAATATTAATATTATCTTTTA